CTTGAAATAGTTTATAATTTTAACAATGCTATTTTAGTACTAGAAGTTCAATTTGAATATGAACAGTTTAAAATTATTCACCTTGAATCCTGATGCTTATGGGACAAAATGGTTTGATTAAAGAAGTTTAAAGAGATAACTGGAAATTCTGAAGGGGTTTATAGATACTTTCAAGGGTCTATATTTTATGGTAAGTTGTTTTAATTTTAACCAACAACACTTGAGAATGTATGTTTTTGCTATCAATTTAAGTGTATTACCAACATTCACCTGTTAGCTATTGGCCATATCCAGGCATCATTTGGAGAGAGCAAAGAAGAAGGTGGATAGTTATTTACTTGAGATAACTGGGCAAAGTTTGAAAGGCAAAGAAGATTAAATTCATATAAATGTGCAAACATGTGCAAGATCTTCCTTGATGTCTAGTTACTTGAACTGGGAGCTTATGGAAAACAGGAAATTTGAGAGTAAAGATTGTATGAGGTATGAGTATGGAAAAAGTCAGGGAGGGTAACAATTGAGTTAAGCCCCAGAAAGGTACCAATGACAGTGGATGGCTTGTGGAGTTTGAGGATAGTGGAGTCATGTAGGAGCTTGGGTTTGGCAAGTCAGTGTGCAAACAGCCATTAGTATTTTTGAAGTTTTTATAGTTCAGGGTATGTATTATATATATATTCATAAACATACATAAGCAGGAATGTACTACTGTTCATTACATTTTGGAAAACAACGGAGTTAATTTTCTCAATAATTTGGTTAGCTCTTTTGTATATGGATGTTATTTTTTGGTTGATTTGACTTTTTTCTATTTTGCAGTGTACAACATTAACATTCATACTGAGACATTAATCCATTTGTACAATGTATTTATAGCTAATGGAAAGCCTAAGTATTATCTGCCATTTAGGAGAGATTTGACCTAAAAACCACATTTCTCCCTCACTAAATTGATGGTGCATTTCAGAAGGATGTATGTGCATTTTACAGATGTCTCTGGTAACCATGGAGAGGTTGTTTATTCTGCCTGCTATCAACTTCACATTTTGAACAATATTAAAACAGATACTTGGCTCAAGGAATCTTTCGTTAGAGGCCGTCTGCTAGTTACATAGAAGTATTTGGCAAAACTGATCTTAGGACCACTCTTTAAATTTAGCATTTAGATTAAGGCTAAACAGGGAACAGATACAAGGTGTAGAACATAGTAAAATACAGTAAAGGGAATTAGTAAAGGGAGGAGTGTTTGAAAAGTGCGTAAAAGCCATTTAAGAAAGAATTGGGGGGCACCTGGGTGGCTCAGCTGTTAAGCGTCTGCCTTCGGCCCAGGTCATGATCCCAGGGTCCTGGGATCGAGCCCCCCATCGGGCTCCCTGCTCTGCGGGAAGCCTACTTCTCCCTCTCCCACTCCCCCTGCATGTGTTCTCTCTCTCACTGTCTCTCTCTGTGTCAAATAAATAAATAAAATCTTAAAAAAAAAGGAAGAAAGAATTGGGGTTGAAGACTTTGAGGGCTTTAGGAAAAAAAGACAAGCCTAGATTAAAAGAAGGAAAAAAGAAAATACAATTTGACACTTTAAATAAGTGATGCAATTACTTAATACCTGACCACACATTTTATTTTTTTTATCTTTTTAGGCATGTATAAAAGCATAATTATCTCTCTAATATTCATTGTGGTTTTGGATTTATGTACATTTATGGGCAATACAAGAAATCTTTTAAGTTTATTCCTAGGTATCTTATTCTTTTTGGTGCAGTTGTAACCGGGATTGTTTTCTTAATTTCTCTTTATGCTACTTCATTATTAATGTATAGAATTGCAGGAGATTTCTGTGTATTAATTTTGTATCCTGTGACTTTACTGAATTTATCAGCTCTAGTCTTTTTGGTGCTTTGGGGTTTTTTATATATAATATTCTGTCATCTGCAAATAGTGAAAGTTTTACTTCTTCCTTACCAATATGGATGTCTTATTTATATTCTTTTTGTTGTCTGATTGCTGTGGCTAGGACTTCTAGTACTATGTTGAATAAAAGTGGTGAGTGTAGACACCCTTCTTTGTGTTGTTCCTGATCTTAGAGGAACAGCTCTCGGTTTTTCACCATTGAGTATGATGTTAGTTCTGCATTTTTCATATGTATCGTTTATCATGTTGAGGTATGTTCTCTTTAAATTTACTATTGAGAATTTTTTTTATCACGAATGGATGTAGTCCTTTGTCAAATGCTTTCTCCGAATCTATTGAAATGATCTTATGGTTTTTATCCTTTCTCTTGTTAATGGGATGTATCCTGTTGATTGATTTGTGAATATTGAACCACCCTTGCATCACTGGAGTAAATCCCACTTGATCATGGTGAATGATTTTTTTAAAAGATTTTATTTATTTATTTGACAGAGAGGGAGACAGCGAAAGAGGAAACACAAGCAGGGGGAATGGGAGAGGGAGAAGCAGGCCTCCCGCTGAGCAGGGACCCCGATGCAGGGCTTGATCCCAGGACCCCGGGATCACGACCTGAGCCGAAGGAGACACTTAATGACTGAGCCACCCAGGCGCCCCTAATTTTTTTAATATATTGTTGGATTTGCTTTGCTAGTATTTTATAAAGGATTTTTGTATCGTTCATCAGGGATATTGGCTTGTAGTTTTCTTGTTTGTGTTTGTCTTTATCTGGTTTTGGTATCAGCAATGTTTGGCCTCATAGAATGAATTTGGAAGCTTTCCTTTTTCTTGATTTTTATGAATAGTTTGAAAAGAATAGGTATTAAATCTGTTTTAAATGTTTGATAGAATTCACCATCTGGTCCTGGGCTTTTTTGTTGGGAGGTTTTTGATTACTGATACAATTTCCTTGCTCATAATCGGTCTGTTCAAATTTTCTCTTTCTTTCTGAGTTAGTGTTGGAAGGTTATATGTTTTAGGAATTTATCTATTTGTTCTAGTTTGCCAAGTTATTGGCATATAAGTTTTCATATTATTCTCTTGTAATCCTGTATTTCTGTGGTGTCAGTTATTATTTCTCCTTCAGTTCTGATTCATTTGAGTCATCTCTCTTTTTTTCTTGATGAGTCTGCACTAGGGCTTATCAATTTTGTTTATCTTCTCATAGAACCAGCTCCTGGTTTCATTGATCTGTTCTATTGTTTTATTAGTCTCTGTTTCCTTTATTTCTGGTATAATTTTTTAATTTATTTCCTTCTACTTGCTTTGGGCTTTGCATGTTCTTCTTTTTGTAACTCCTTTAGGTGTAAGGTTAGGTTGTTTATTTTAGATTTTTCTTGTTTCCTGAAGTAGGCCTCTATTGCTATAGGCTTTCCTCTTAGTACAGCTTTTCTGCATCTCAAAGATTTTATACTCCTGTCATTTCGTTTTCCTTTATCTCCATGTAATTTTTTGATTTTCTCTTTGATTTCTTGGTTGACCATTCATTGTTTAGTAGCATGTTATTTAGCCTCCATGTATTTGTGTTCTTTTCAAATTGTTCTTGCTACTGATTCCTCGTTTCATGCCGTTGTGGTCAGAAAATATGCATGATAATGACTTCAGTCTTAGAATTTGTTGAGACTTGTTTTGTGGCCTAGCATGTGATCTGTCCTGGAAAATATTCCATGTGTACTTGAAAAGAATGTGTACTGTGCTATTTTTGGATGGAATTTTGTGTATATATTACGTATATCATGTGGGAAACCCCATAAGGCTATCAACTGATTTCTCATCAGAAACATTGCAGTTAATAAGAAAGTGGCATGATGTATTTAAAGTGCTGAAAGGAAAATATCTGCAACCAAGAATACTTTACCCAGCAAGTTATCATTCAGAATAGAAGGACAGATAAAGTGTTTCCCAGATAAACAAAAACTAAAGCAGTTCATAACCTTTAAACTGGCCTTCAAGAAAAATTAAAGGGAACTCTTTCAGTGGAAAGAAAGGGCCATAATCAGGAGTAAGAAAATTATGAAAGGAAAAAAATTCACAAGTAAATGCAAACATAAAATAAAAGTACTAGATTAATAACTTATAAAATCAGTATGGAGGTTAAATACAAAAACATTCAAGTCAGTTACATATTCAAAAATCAGTCAAAGGATTCACAAAATAAAAGAATATAAAGTATGACATCATATACATAAAATGTGGAGGTGGTAAAAAATTGAGTACTTTTAGAATGGGTTTGATCTTAAGCGACCACTGAGTATAGACTGCTACACACTTTAGATGTTATATATGAACTTAATGGTAACAACAATTCCCAAACGTGTAGTAGACACACAAAAAATAAAAAGGAAAGAATCCAAGCATAACACTAAAGAAAGCCACCAAACCACAAGGGAAGAGAGCAAGAAAAGAAAGGAAGAGAAAAGAACTACAAAAACAACTATAAAACAAGTAACAAAATGGCAGTTAAGTACACACCTGTCAATTGATCTAAATATAAATGGACTGAATGCTCCAATTACAAGACAAGGGGTGACTGAATTGACAAAATTGCAAGACCCATCTGTATGCTTGCTATAAGAGATTCCATTCAGACCTAAGTACATATGTGGGTTGATAGTGAAGGTCTGGAAAAACATTTATCATGCAACTGAAGTGAAAGGAAAGCTGGGGTAGCCATACTTATATCAGACGAAATACACTTTAAAACAAAGACTGTAACAAGATACAAAATATAACACTACATAATTATAAAAGGAACAATCCAGATTGAGAATATAACAATTTTAAATATCTATGCATCCAACATGGAAGCGTCTAAATATATAAAGCAACTATTAAGAGACATGAAGAAATTGGTAGTAATACAGTAATAGTAGAGAACATTAACACCACACTTACATCAGTGAATAGATGAACTAGTCAGAAGGTCAAGAAGGAAATAGTCACTTTCAATGACATTTAGGCCAGATGGACCTAACAAATGTATACAGGAGAGTAGAGGAAATCTTTTAATATTAATTGTTTACTATGAAAATTTTTCCTCCCTTTTTTCTCTTCTGCAGATCCCAGAGTCATTTAGACATACTACATGGCAGAGACTGGGAAAAGGCAACTCAAGACAGATATTAGATGTTACCAGGGTAAGATTAAGCAGATACTTCTACGTATAACTCAAAAAATTAGCAAGCCCTTTGAGCCTTTTCAAATTTATACTACATATTTTGTGTTTCTCATTTCTTTCTAAGTACTTTTCATTTTTTTCTAAATACTAAGAGATGAATAAGAAATTATGTTCCTGCTAGTAGAAATAGGGATAGATATCTTGATTATTTTTCTACTCCTGGAGAACTCTGTCAGAATCTCTTGAGATCAGTGCCAGCTACAGTAACATTTTTAGAATGCTTTTATAAATGTAATGGCAGCTTGTTGACACTTAAATTTTTCCCAGTAATTTGTATGTGATATATGGAATGCTTGTAAGCTTTGCAAGTGAGTGAAGTTCCTTTACCTTAGAAGATGTTCAGATGGCAGAGTATCAAGGGACTCTAAGCTTATTAGAGCCTGATACTTAGTTTACTTGTTGATAAGGGTTATTTTTCATTGTTAATATAAGTGAAAGACAACTTTAAAATTTCTCAGTGCTCTAAAATTATACAGGCAATTCTTCAAGAGAGAAAAAGGCTAGAAAATTAGAAGACAACCTAAACCCTGAGTACTTCCTTTATTATTTCTTTTTGATTAACAATTATTTGCCATTACAAGGTACAAGGCATTGTTCTAATTTATGCAGAGGCTGTAAAAGTGAATTACATTTCAAAATCTTTTGCTTTGTCAAAGACCTCATTATCTTGTGTGGTATTCATCAGACCCCTTGATAAAATTTGTTGCTTAGTCTTTTAGATGGAAAAAGATGTCACAAAAAGATATTGTCAGACTAAAATTTATATTTTGATGTTTTCCCCTTAAAAATGCTTTAAGATTGTTGATCCAAGAATTAATAACCCATTTATAGCAATTATTTTTTTGTTCTAAACTGGTGTGAATAAGAAAGCACTTTTGCTTTTTGTGATTCCATTTTCGTAGCTTGGCCCAGAGCTTTGGCATTGATACACATTTGTGTTTATAAAGAACTTGCTGTTCATTAATTCATTAATTATTATTATTATGGCTGCTGAAGGAACATTATTATATGCATTTCTTTCATTAAGTATGTTTTAATTGAGGAAAACCTTTAAATATTAGCAAGTTTAAATTTTGAGCCTAATCTTTACTGTCTTTATGAACTATTTTATTTTCTCAAATGACTATTATATTTTCTCCAGTAAAACTTTTATGTTTATCTAACCTAAGAATCAGTCTTACTTAAGGCCTTTTTTAAAAGTAGGCAAGATGTTTGCATATTTTCAAGGCTAGTTGGGAGATTTATAGATAGCTCTGTTTTATAAGCTAATTCATTAAACATTGAAATCTACCCTGCCCATGTGCAAGACACTGTGGTATAGGCCATGGGAGATACAAGGATAAAAGAGGCTGTCTTTAATTTCAAGAAATTTACCATGTAATAAGAAAGACAAAACATGCATGCATATTACTATAGCATATGACAGACAGGAAGTATTAAAAATACACACACACATCCACACACACATATGAGCAAGAATAAGGAAAAGAATCAGCTATGTAAAATGAACAATAAAGCAAAAAAAATTGTATACATGTGGAAAGCAAGTGGGATATAATTAGTTAACTGTATGATATACTCTGCTTGCCAGTGATAGAGTAATAGGTTACATAGTACCGTAATAGCAAATGACAGTAAGAAAACTGGTATAAATCAAGTAGAAGTGTAATATAAGTTTTCAAACATTTCAAAAGCTATTTAGAGAAAGTAACTTCTGTATGAGTATTGGTTACATTTCAACATTCTTTGTGTAAGTGTATCTGTAAGCTAATCGTGAAGGTGTTTTGCTTTATTATGCTAAGCTAGAAGCTATGCCTATGAATTTGTTTGGGACATTAGATTAAGCTTCCTAAGTCAGAGTTTTAAAGATCCGAAATTCTATAATAGCTAATGGATGACTTGGTATCATCTTCAACTAGGCTCTCCAGGCCTGGCCACTGATAGAAAAGAGGACATGTTGGCATGGTCATGCAGGAGGAGGACTCCACACAGACCCAAAAGAAGGGGTAAGAGCAAATAGCAAGTAACTGGAGATTCTTATACATGATCGTACTTGCATAGAACACACACAAGCATTCAAGATTATTGTCTTCTAGAATATTTTGATTGACTCATATAACTACAGGTTTTCTAATACAAAACCTTATGAATTGACCGTGGTCATACGGATGAGATTCTCTTGGGCTTAAAACAAACAAAAAATTTCATGATTTTCTAAAAAAGAAAAAAGTTATCAACCTAAACATTTTAGTTCTTTATTTAAAATAGCATTGGTTGAGGTTTTTATATAATCCAGCCTTATAAATAAATAGGTAAATTAGCTTTAGCACTTACAAGCAGTTTGTGTGTGTGTGTGTGTGTTTTGAGGTTAACATTTCCCCTTCTAGGGTGCCTGGGTGGCTCAGTCAGTTAAGCGGTTGCCTTCGGCTCAGGTCATGATACCGGGATCCTGAGATCGAGCCCCACATCCGGCTCCCTGCTCAGTGGGGAACCTGCTTCTCCCTCTCTCTCTGCCTGCAGCTCTGCCTGCTTGTGCTTTCTCTCTCTCTGTCAAATAAATAAATAAAATCTTTAAAAAAAAATTTCCCCTTCTTTACACTTAGTTGAGAAAGATCCTAGAATGTCCCGCAGCTTCCTGATAAATCCTTCATTTACCTAATCCATTTATTTAATTACCCATATTCTTTTTAAAAAATTTTTATTTTAATTCCAGTTAACAGTGTTATATAAGTTTCAGGTGTACAGTATAGTGATTCAACACTTCCATACATCACCCTGTGCTCATCACAAGTGCACTCCTTAATCCCCATCACCTATTTAACGCATCTCCCACCCCCTGTCCTCTGGTAACCATCAGTTTGTTCTATATAATTAAGAGTCTGTTTCTTGCTTTGTGTGTGTGTCTCTCTCTCTTATTTTTTTACCTTTCCTTGTTTGTTTTTTAAATTCCATATGATTGGAATCATGTGGGTATTTGTCTTTCTCTGACTGACTTATTTCACTTAGGATTATACTCTCTAGCTCTATCCATGTCGTTGCAAATGGCAAGATTTCATTTTTATGACTGAATATTCCATTATATATATGCACGCACGCGCGCGCACATACACCCACACACCATATCATCTTTATTCATCAGTTGATGGACACTTGGGCTGCTTCCATATCTTGGCTATTGTAAATAATACTGTTATAAGCATAGGGCTGCATATATCCCTTTGAATTAGTGTTCTTGTATTCCTTGTGTAAATAGCCAGTTGTGAGATTGCCAGATGGTAAAGTAGTTCTATTTTTAACTTTTTGAGGAAACTCCATACTGTTTTCCACAGTGGGCTGCACCACTTGTGTGTTCTTAACACTACTAATAAAAATTAATAATGCTGCTCAGAAGGTATTTAAATCATCTGTTTACCCAATCCCTGTAGTAAAAGGGATTGTGAAAAAAGAGTGACAGTTTCAGTATTTGGAAGCTCTTGTTTTTAAAATAGATAAATTAAGAAATTATTTGTTTTAATTATAAAATTAATGTCTTCTATTAAGAATCTTCAGATTTTTGAAGAATTTTGGTGCTATACTCCTGCATTTAAACTTTTTTATTGTGCTGCTTTTGAAGAATTATCTATTAGTAAATTTAGTTCGTTCTGTGCTCATTATAACATGAGTAATGAAGAACTTAAAATAAGGACGACTTTCCAGACTTTGCTTGACATACTTTTTTTTTAATGTTAGCAATAGATCCTCATTGGATATAGTCAGAAGCTAGTAGTATTAAAAGAGAGATTAGCACTTACTAGCACAGAGAGCTTTGGTACAAATCTTGATATAATCAAAAGGAGTGGAACAGCAACTTGGAGTATTAAAAAATTGGAGGTCTGGGGAGATAATGGAATAATGAATCTCCAGGCTTGTTAAGATGAGTGGACACTTAGACCAATGGATAAGAATACCAGGATGAAGTGGAGAGGCTGTTTTCTAGCTCTGATTTTATTCATCATCAAGCACCCTTATGATCTTTTTTTTTTTTTTTAAAGATTTTATTTATTTATTTGAGAGAGAGAGAGAGAGCACATGAGGGGGGAGGGTCAGAGGGAGAAGCAGACTCCCTGCTGAGCAGGGAGCCCGACGCGGGACTCGATCCCGGGACTCCAGGATCATGACCTGAGCCGAAGGCAGTCGCTCAACCAACTGAGCCACCCAGGCGCCCAGCCTTATGATCTTTATTTGATTTTTCCAGTTGACTTCCTTTTGGGATAGGGGATTAACTGATTGGCCAATGTGAATATCAGTCAGCTTGTTATTTTTTATTATATATTATTAAATCAACTTATGGGTACAGATGCATCTCATATGTACCCTAAGCTAGTTTTAGGGCCTTTTTACTGCTAGATAAACTCTTCATTTGTGGTATTAGACCAACAGAGAATAGAAAACAAACCTAAGGTATAGAGAAAGTAACAATAATAGTAAAGCTTTTCCTGACAATATATCTTTCATCTCCCATCTGTAAACTTACTATATACTTACATCCCCAATAATATCAGTTACCCTCCATTTTTCCATTAGACATCTGTTCAACTTGCTTGTCCTTTGACCTAGCTTTTATCAAACCACTGTTATTTCTAATAATATTGAAGTAGTGGTTGAATTTATTCCTTTAATTGCAGTTAGTTATCTTTAGCACGGATTGAAACAACAGTTCTCTTCTCTGGACAGTTTCCACTGTCCACTTTGGGCACTTCCAAATTATCTGCTGCTAAATTGGTTCTTTAGGGAGAAAACATTCAGTCTGTCATGCACATTTATACAAAACAAATTGCATCCAAAGTTTTTAGTATATATTTTATTTTTCCTCATCACAGATTTTGCCCCCAAGTAGTTTCTTTATTAACTAGTCCCTTGATCTAGGATTAGAAAATTTCTTGCTATTAGAATTCAGGAATGTCTTTTTTTTTTTTTTTAAAGTAATCTCTACACCCAATATGGGGCTCAAACTCATGACCCCAAGATCAAGAGTCACATGCTCTACTGACTGAGCCAAGTGCCCCTCAATTCAGGAATGTCTTTAAAACCAGAATTCTTAGATACATTCCATATCAGTTAAAGAAAAGGTAATTCTATTACCTTTATCAAATGATCATTTTCTGGGGTGCCTGGGTGGCTCAGTCGGTTAAGCGTCTGCCTTCAGCTCAGGTCATGATCCCAGGGTCCTGGGATCAAGCCCCACATCAGACTCCCTGCTCGGCTGGGAGCCTGCTTCTCCCTCTCCCTCTGCCCCCTCCCCCCCGGCTTGTGATCTCTCTCTCTCTCTGTGTCAAATAAATAAATAAAATCTTTAAAAAAATGATCATTTTCTTTTTTCTTACTCTTTTATTTTCTTATCAAAATCCAGTGAGCTGCACACCCTTGGAGCAGTGGACTCTTGGTGGAAAAAATTGTTCTTGCTTCAGTGCTTGACAACCTATTCTGCTGAAAGAGACGAAGCTACTGACCTGAGAAGCAAAACACATATTTAGCTTATTAATATGCAGTTTTCTTCAATATCTTAAAATTCTACCAAGTGAGCTGCTCCAGATGTGTTTTGATTTTTTTAGTGTCCTTTTTGTGCCCTATCTACATAGTTATTAGTTATAGGTATTCACTTACAGCACTTATGGCTATGCAAGACTGCATCTCTCCCTCAGGTCATACTGTTGAATTCAGTACTGCTGCATATAAACAGTGCAGTTTGTGGCTTTCCACTTATACCCTATTGGGTCAGATGCTTCCAGTTTTATTTATGCATTTGTTTTTGGCCCACCGTGCTATGTTCGTGCTGTTTCAGCTCCCTGTATATAAATAGATATTCCTTTCATTATTTCTTTCTACCTGCCCTGCCTCATAAGGCTTATGAAACTATATATTAATACCAAATAAGTAAATATTTAAAAACCTGTCAGAAGTTAAGATGACTTAATAAATCAAGTAATAGGTATACCTCCTAAATATAATAAGTAACAATTTGTACTCATGTGTTTAAGAATAGTTAATTTATTAATTGAATAAATATTTAGTGAGCATTATTTCTGGTATCAGATTTCTTTTTGTGGCATCTGCTTTTTTTTCTGTTGGCCTACCTTATTTTCAGTCACTTTCATCTCCTCTTTGACAGCTCTCTGATGTTCCCAAGTCTTTTCTTCCAAACTCTTTTCTAGGATAAAAAGATATAATTTGCTACCGTACAGAGGGATAGGGAGCCTATTTGAATTCTCTCTTGTATGACCTTTGTGTTTTCTTTCTGAATCCAGTTGATTTCCTTTATTATGGCAAGCTAATTCTAGTATGTATTTGAGACCTTTGTAAAAACTTTTATTCCTCATACTAACATAGTACTAGTTTTAATGGGGCTTAAAATGTCAGTTCCACATTTTAAATTTGAAGCTATTTAGCTATAGCAAGAAGGCCTCATTGTATTTCTTGTTAGCAAAGAGGAAAGTAGATTCACTTCTACTTTTATAGGCCTTTTAATGGTATTTCTATAGCATTCGAATTTAGGGAGCTTTTGTTATCATGATATGTCATCACAGTTATGTTTTTAAAATAACTTCTAAATTTTACTTATTGTGAAAATGATAAACAGAAAAGTGAAGGAATTTTATGTTTCCTGTTTACATGTAAGTGAGGCTTAAATAAAAATTATGATATCAACCGTTGGTTGCTTCAGGAATTTTGACGCCCGAGAAAGAACTTCCTTTCCTTAAATCATTGGGGTTTTTTTTCCTATACTGTAATTACTCCTTACACAGTATGTTTTCAAATCAGCCAATTTCTTATCCTCCTTGACCATTTCCTATATTTTCCACCCTTTCTTTAAGAATATGATCTTAAAGGGGTATGTATGCTATTTGTGTTGCTTAGTCTGAAATGAAAAGTAAGTTGAAGGCTCCTGGGTGGCTCAGTTGGTTAAGTGACTGCTTTCGGCTCAGGTCATGATCCTGGAGTCCCAGGATCAAGTCCCACGTCGGGCTCC